AAGCATTTTTGGGATGAACAAGAGTGTAATAATTACTGAGACTACATTTGTTATATCTGTAAACCACGTGATATAGCTGAGTTGCACAGATCATTAAATTGTTGAGTTGAAAACCATCCGATCTGTATGATGATGTCATGTGTTGGTTTTGAAGTATACAAATTTTCGGAGCCCCCCCTCCTAGCGCAACAATTTTTTCAGAGCCCCCCCTTCGAGTGTCTAAAAATTTTCGGAGCCCCCCCTCAATATCTTCATCCCCCCCCCCCCTTGTCATATTAAATGAACTTTCCCTAATAAATGTCTAGGACGTCTAGGACTTCTCGACCATTTATTCAAGTATCAAAAACTAACCTAAACCATAACGTGCTTGAACTGATATATATAGGGTGCGACTTCACAGCTATAAAGTCATTCGTGATTTGCCCGCGTTGTTTTGTATTGTAAACTCGACAAGTGTGTAAAATTTTATCGTATCACCAAAGAGCCCCTCAGGGGGTGTTCGCAATTCAATAACGTATTAAAAAACTTAATTTTTTCAATTCTGTAATGGGCTATAGTGTTTCCTTATGGACATTAAGCTTCAAAGTACTGTCGACCCCTAACTTCGGAGACCATTTTGCTGCTGATGATACTCTACGAAAGACAGATTCGATATAGGCTCGATTTCCGCCGTCTCCCGGGTCCGGTCTTTGATCCTCAACAGCGGCTGGTAATCGAGCCTAGATTCGATATGGACAAAAATGGATTATAAAATTTGCATAAATTACAGGGTAACGCTAGGCGCATTGTCTTTACCCTAACTTCCAAAATTACTGACTGGAGCTCGCTATGGAAAAAAAAAGACGAAAGATAAACGTTCTACATTCTTTTTGCTCCGTTTGAGAGTAAACACGACAGTTATTAGCGAGAGTCAGACTTCGATAATCTGTTCTCAAAACAATTTAAAACAACAAAAAAAAAACTCTAGCGCGGAGTCACGTGCTCAGGGCATAGGGCTAACTATTAAACCAATTTGTGAAAAATGAACACAAGTTCTCACCTGCTCCTTCAAATTTCTCGGTGGGTTTCCTCGTGTTCGCAAGGAAGCTTTCTTGGTCTGATCTGTATAAGTCTTCTCCTGTGGAGTCCCACCGCTTCATCTCCTTCTTCCTGAATAGGAAGAATTCTTTCTCCCCCCTGTTCTGCGAAAGCTTGCGTCTGCTGTGCTGCATGTTGCCATACAAGGATTTTTATACATATGGCTGTAATCATGATGAGAAGCAAACATGCAGCGAACAGCTCACATGCCAGACTTGGATACAACTCTATGCCAAAAGACATTTTATAGAGGCGTTCTGAGGGCTTATCCTTCTTTGCTTTCCTGAACCCAACTGTTATTATTATCAACCAATCATAGGCCTTGTTTTACGAGGTGGTCCGTGTGATTTTCAGCATCACTGGCCTTGCTTTACGTGCCGTTACCTACTATAATTATCAGCCAATCATAGACCTTGTTTTACGTGGAGGTCGAATGGAGGTATGAATGAATGAATGAAGATGAGTCGTGGATGAGAAAACAACAGACAGGTGTCTAGAAAACACAGACCTAGAAAACGCAGACCTCGAAAACACAGACCTCGAAAACACAGACTTCGCAATTTAAAACGAGTCTTAAGACCTACACATTTGATGAAAACAGTTTACGCATGGCGCTTATTTTCCCTATTGCACATTATATATTTCATATATTTCATACATTTTTGTAGTTTTATATAGTTTTGTTATCTGTTACGTATAATTTCAATCTTTACATGGGTTGCATGCAGCTGCATGGGAATGTTCTAAGTTAAAAGTTGTTAGGACCTCAAGTAGAAGCAAATTAATGAAGCCTAGTTGTCTGGACGATGTAGCCGTCCGCTGTCTTACTAAGCATTTTAAAATGTCCTGCGATCTATCGTAATTGAAGATTGGATTGTGCCTCGATGTTTTCGATGTAGTCCATTTCCTGTTTATAACGTAGTGAAACAATAACAGCTTTACTTCCGTGACGATGGTTTTCCCACTAATGTAGTAACGCAATAGTAACAAACAAGTTAATCGAAAAAGGACTGAAGAATGGGCAAAGCGGCAGTTTAAGTGTTGATAAAATGCAATTTCGTGGTTTTCATTGTTGTTGTTGCTGTTCATTCACTGGTGTTTGTTTAACTAAAAAATTACAATTATCGTTTTACAATTTGCCACTCCGGTTGTACCAAGTAATTGTGATTTTTAAAAAATCAGCTGTTTAGTCGGTAATAAAGATGATGTGTACGTGTCAGGGGCGGATCTAGGGGGAGGGTGCAGTAAGGTATTGAGGCGGACATGTCTTCGTCTTTGCTACAACTATAATTAATAATCTTTGCTAACTATAATTATCAACCAATCATAGGCCTTGTTTTACGAGAAGGTAAAACGGCGTTCGGAGAGGTGTTGTCTTCGTTTTCCCAACCTACTATAGACCTTGTTTTACGAAGAGATACAGAAGCTTTCGGAGGGACTTACTTTACTCTTTATTTTCCTAACACTACCTATAAACCATTCATAGTCCTCGTCTGGGATCGGCGCACTTCCGTCACTTCATATTCATATACATTTCGTTCTTAGAAAAGAGCCCATTTCTGAAACTGAATGTGCTCTGATTTACGTGACATATCTTAAGTGATCTTAGACCTCCGTCAATTATCTTAGTCAGTCTAAAAGATGCTTTGAGAGGTCGCCTTTTCTGTCCTCCTGTTTCCCCTGTCGCCGTGCATAACCTTTCCGGTGTGACCAAGGACCCTAAGTAAGATGCCACCGTATAATTACATGTCCCATTTTTGAAGGCAATGAAGAAAGCCGATGCACTTCATGAGAATTGGCTCCATAAATGTCTCTTATCATATGTGTGCAAAAGCAACTTGGCAAGACTGCGAAAGTGCTCGCGGGCTCAAAATTTTACCTACAAACTTGCTCAACGTAACAAAGGCGTTCTTTTCCTTTGCGTTTCGTCTTGAATGTTGGTTATCGAAGGCGGAGAACAAAAAATTTATTTGTAAAATAAGAGTCTAAAGTTGTACATAACGGTGCGCAACAGAGGTGCAAAACATCATTTTACGGGGGTGGTAGCCAGAAATCTTAAACTACCACGTGATTCCGTTTGACCAATCAAATTTCTAGAAAAGAGGCGGTCGAACTAAGTCGTGTGTCGCATGTGGTGTGGAAAACCGTACTACAGTTTTATTACTTTTTCACGAAGTTTTTAGTATATTTTGTATATTTTTCAACCATTTATAAAGCAGGAGAGGATCTTCAACAATGGTAGACCAGCCTGGTGCTGGTGGCTCTCGTTCGTACAAAATCCGCGGGTACACACGAGAGCGACAATCTGCGAAACCGTACGCTCGTCCACCTGGGAGAAGGAAGGTACGTGATCCGAACTTTGGTTAACACCGTTTCAAATTTTTTCTTGAAAGAGGAAGAAAAAGTGTTATTTTGTTCTCGAAAAAGTATTTTATTGTTTTTACTTCGTGTAAGCATACTAGACGTCACATTAACTCGTTCATTTTGTCTTCTACAGGGTGTTATTGAAACAGTGAAGGATTTCTTCTCTCCGGCATGGTTAGTTGATTTATTTAAAGGAAATCAGAGATCACAGCCCGTCGAAATCGACTTTGATCAACAAGATGAGCATAATGAGGTTTCACAAACCATCGATGAAAGCTATACTTCAAACTCTAACCTGCGATCCTCAAGAAAACCGGCAGAGGTTTCTACCGCAACTACAGTCGGTAACGGCCAGTTGGGATCGTTAGGACCGGGATATTTCTCCTCTATCCTTCGAGAACGGGGACTCTCTAGCGAAACTCCTTCGACTTCAAGACCTTCGCGTACGTTTGGTTTATCTAGTGGAAATGATCGTTATGGAGAAGCTTCTACCAGTTCGGTTAGATCGGAAGAATCTGAGGGCGAAGTTCCCAGCTCGAGACGAGCAAGCGAGAGCGTGCGACCAGAAACCGTCGAGGTAGGTTTTGACACCGAACATAGATTTCGTGACTTACTACTTAGTTGAAAATAATGTTCCTAATCATATTTTTAAACATATTCTTGTAGTAGATGGTGAAAAGTCTTGAAGGTTTTTCATTTACAGGTTAACTGCCTCCAGGTACAGTGCATTTGTGTAAAATTAAAAGGCCAAGGCTAATGATATTGGGGAATAGTAATTTCATCAAATTTACTATCTAGTTAACTGGAAAGTTCTTTTGCTTGTAATGTATTATTATGTAACTTCGGGTATGCTATCCTTTTGGTGCTTGCCTGCCTTCTTTACTCCCTCCTTTTTTTCCTTAGCAGTGAGGTTTTTCCCTCATATATTGTCGTGGGTTCACTTTAACCTTCTTGAATATTGTCCAATTTCCTGTACGTATGTAGCTTTCTAATGCCTCTGTCTATACCTTGGTCTGTAAGAATTCATGAATGGATAGATGTGTGATGGTATGCATGTAATGTCCCTGGAAATGATGTGTCCTGAAAAATTGGCATTCAGCTTAAGATGAAATTTAGCAAATTGCTTGCCCTCTTGCCAAGCTGTTGCTTTAGTTTACTAGCCCATACTATAGCTGTCAATAGCTGTCATAAGCAGCCAGCTACTGCGGTAAAATCAGCTGGGCTCTCTAAGTTTGAACATGAGTCGAATATAATAAGTATAAGCAGATTCTGTGATAAGTGACCTACAACTTTCCCTGAGAGACTAGCTACCACAACCTTCATGGCAGTCCTGGCAAGCAGTTCGGCAGGCCTACCAAACCTAACTGACATTTTTATTTTGCAACCAAAATGTTGCTTGCCCATTGAACAACTCGGAAGCAAGCTAGCCTGATGGGCTGCTACACTAGCCCTTGGCTATTACATGATGCTTTTGTGACTATCCCCCCTCTTTTGTAGTCTTAGGAAGTGTAAAAGCTAAAGATTGCTCTTCCTCTTGTTATAATAAATCAATGTCAAAATTATGGCCCATTAGTGATAAAACAACTTATTTAAACAATCAGTCTCAAGTGGGTAATCAGCGTACAAAGAAAGTAGTGTCCGATAGCCTGGAGCTGGTGGATTTTGCTATCAGGCTAGTGAATTCTGTTTTTAACTTGCCCAATGGGCAAGTCATGTTTTGTGAGGAATTCAAATGACAGAAGAACTGTGCAATCAATTCTGCCTGTCAAAAAGCTTTTGGGGTTAGTTGAAATGACGTCTGGGCTAGTAAATGCTAGCTTCAACTTGCCCGAATAGCAAGCTGTAAAAATGATTTTCTTTGCACCCTGGTAGTGTACAGCTGCAAAATGATTTTGTATAATCAAGAATATTATTGTACAGCCGCAGAAAGCACCTGACAGCTGAAGTACATGTGGCTAAGAGATCAGTTGTGTATCAGAACTGTGGAAATTCACCATAGCATGGTAATATTAGCCAAAACTCAACAACATCAACAATGATTTTGAATTTTGCTCAAAATCTTTTGGCAATCTATTTCTGCCTGGACCTTTTGGGAACCAAAATGATTGTACAATAGAGCCATGTTAACTTGAACTGTGAAGGTAATCAAATCAAAGGGTGCGTATGGCTACTTATGGATTAATTATTGTGGAAACAAAAGCTGATAATGAACTTGTACTTAGTCTACCGGTATATTCTAAGTCTGTAAAAAAAGTGAAAATATGTTTTAAGGAAAAAAAAAAAGCAGTAAAGAAAAAGTTTCCTATGGCAGGAGTTGGACCCCAGACCTTCGACATGAATTAATTATCTTTATCACTTTTGCCCATGAAATTCTGCTGGTGGACGGTGTTTGTAGCTAGTAGGGCCTTATTTATGTAGAATTGAAAGATATATTTGAGGAAAGCAAGCATGGTTTTGATGGTAAAAGCTGTACTCTAACTAATTTCGTCGCATATGAAGAACATATGTCTGACAAAGCGATATTAAGTGTCTCTGAAGCTAAACCATTGCGAAGTCTCTCGCTTACGGCATTGTAGTGTTGTACAGCTTGCAATTCTCTGTATTAACCTGAGGAGAATCAATTACGATTCAGCAACAGTTCCTTTTTTATTCAACTGAAGAAACATTTCATTTCAGAATGATATTTGCCCAAAAAAGCATGAGATTGGGAGTCTTGTGATTTGCTTGAAATACTATTCCTCTTGATTGGCTAGTTAGATCAAACTTCAGGTTATGAGTGAGTGACACATTTGCCTACAGATTCCCCACAATACTCATGGATAATCCACAAGTAAAAACAGTTGGAGTTACATGTAGCAAGGGTTCAAGTTATTGGAGTTGGTTGACTATTCACTTTGCCATGTTAATTATTAGTTTACTGATTTTCTGACACTTCAATCAGTGTACGGTATGCTGCAAATTAAACTTCATTAGAAACTGTGACTATGCATTCTTATTCTGATGATCCGGTATATCAGACAAATACTGTTAATTATGTGATCTGTTGATTGCACTACCTAAAATCTAATTGCTGTAGTGTTAGTTTTGTGTGTTTTTTTTTTCTGATTACACAACAAGATGAGCTAATGGGATGGCATCCATGGTGAGCTGCAAGAGCCGAAATTGAGTTGTTCGGGTGGGAACTAAATAGAGACGAGAAGTGTGACATCATGTTACCATGGTAGCAAAATTTCTGGATGACAACAATAGGGAGTTTTTGCAACAGCGACGGCAAACAGCCAAAAAAAAACAATACATTTAGATTGGCAAAAAAACAACTTTGCACCTGCATCACCCTTTTTTGTACATTTTCTTAGCCGTTGTTGCACAACTGCGATGTGAAACTTCCTAATTTTACTCACCTGCTTTATGGAGTAGGTGAGCACAACACAAGAAGTGTCTTTTTCTAAACTCAGTTATAGTCCTTTCAGATTTTTCCCAGAAAATTTGCCAACATTTGACAAGTTGAATGAAATTAAATAAGATCGACGAAGTTTGAAACAGTGCGAATCCACTTTTTAAGTGACTTCTTGGTTTGTTGTCATTCAGAAATTTTGCTACCATGGCAACGACTTCTCTCTATTTACTTTCATCTAGCGAGGAATTCAAGTTGTCCGAGTTTAAGTTAACCGAGTAAAAATGACTGAAAAGTATGGTCAAATCCAAGAGGAATGGCACTTAATGTTTGTGGAGAGTTCGATGTATTAAGGTTCCACTGAATTCATGTAATATAAAGGAGTTTTAAAATTAATGGACTTTTAAGGGCCTTTTTGTGAATTTCAAAGAGTGGATAATCAGGTTGCATGGTGTCTCTCTTGTGACAAAAAAACTAGCTTAATAAGATTTTTTTCAAATTATGCAGGAGCAAGAGGATGACTTATCAATAACCCATGAAGTCAGACAGGCAGCAAGCTCATCAGATTCAATTATAACATCTACTCCTGCCTTATTTTTAAACCCTGGAAGCAAACGACGAGCAAATACTTCAATATTTGGTGAACCATTACCTACTGTGGAAGCTTCATCATCAGGGAGTGCAAACCAAGCCAGACCACTGCTGTTTCCTCCATCTTCCGAATACCATCCAGGCCCACAGCCTTTCGCCTTACCTAAAAACAGGCCATCTTTTTCTGTTTCTGCATTTGGTTCCACTATAAAGGTAAGCACTTTGTGAGTCCTGTAGTATTAGGGAGCTTAAGCAACTGCGACAACGTGAACAATGACAATGTCAAAAAACAAATCGGTTTTTTGAGCAGGACAACACCTTTGCAGATGCATCATGCTTTTTAGCACATTTCTTTGACGTCCACTACATGACTACGACATGAAACCTTCTAATGCGACATTTTATGAAGAGTGTGTGAAGAGTGAACCTTTCCTTTCCTTAGGAATTCAACTTCGGGAAAAATCACTTACATTTGACAAATTAAGCAGGTCCAAATAGATACAATAAAGTTTGAAATCATGCAATTTTTTTTAAGCGACATGTTCACTGCCGTTGTCGACGTTGCTTAAGCTACCTACTGTCTTCTGTAGTTGTGTAAAAGTGCATCTTTATTCAATGATATGCTTTATTTTTACATTATTTTTATCTGATGACAGCCTAAACCACCCCAACCTGGTGAGTTTTCCTCTCCATTTTACCGTGGAAGAACGTCATTTGGTGGAGCCTCATCACTGCATTCTGCAGGATATAAGCGAATGAGAACAAATTCTCCAACGCTAGGAGAGGTGAGTGTAATTAGCACATCCTAGTGGAGACTCGGCAAGACTGAGGTCAGTAGTTTAGACAATCAAGTGTGGATATTATTCACATGTTTCTCTTTGTTACTCTCATCATATTTGCAACACAAGTTTTTCCAGCCAAAAAAAAAATTATGACAGCTGTGAAGCCTGGAATGTACAATTCATGCCAGCATTACTTTCAATCTTCAAAACACATGAAGATCCTTTCCAAACAAACAAACACTGAAATAAACACCTATGTTAAGAGTGGGTAACAATGGCCCTCCAGGGATGTAGCTAAGGAAAAGCTAAGCAGGCTTTTTTATTGATCAAGCTGGCTTTCTCACACTCAAATAGGAGCCATGCCAAGCCAACCATGCAGCCCGATCTTTATTATATCAACACCACAAATCATTAGCAAATCACAGCACAAAAAGAGAGCTAACAAAACGACTGAAACTGAGCCTAGATACAAGATTAGAATACAACAATAACCAGAACTAAGGCATTACATGAAATCCTACAACAATCCCAAGAACACATGGAGGGTGGGTGGGTGGGGCAGGTCAATGGCAGAAGGCAACAAAGACAACTGAACTCTGAAACACCATGTGACCTGAAGACTCCCTGCACACTGAAACCCATACTCCTAGCCGTGTGTGAGAAAAAAGTTTTCTGTTTCTTTCATCCTCAGCCAGCGGAAAACCACACTTTTTACTCAACTGCACCTTTGAAATTACCCCATGTTTTTATTTTCCAGAGCCATTTGAGCCAGTGGTAAGGTCTTTTTCAGCTGGTGAAATTAGCCGGCAGCCAGCTGTTAGGGACATACCTGGCCCTCTAAGCCTCCCCATTTATTTGGAGACACTTTCCAGATCAAATTGGGAGTTGGAAATTTTATTTGGTTTTTTAGGAGGGGGTAAAACCCTCATACTTGGAGAAAAAACTCCCAGAGTAGAGAAGAGAACCAATAATAATAATAATAATAATAATAATAATAATTCCTTTATTTACCCTCGGCAGTATTTATAGCGCTAATGCTAGTGGGGCCAAGCAATTGCCTGAAACAAATCATTCAAATCAAACTTAAAAGGATTAAAAATCCCAACTGGCAGAAGGCAAACCAGCTGGCTATTTATAAGTATGGTTGAGGATTTGTAGTCGAACTACTGTGAACAAATCCAGTTAGCGGTCAGGATGGGACTTGAGCTCAGGGCCTCTGAATTGCAATTTCAGGCCTCTAACAACTCAGCTATGCTGCCTCTTCTAAACTCAACTCACATATCATTGGCATTATACATTTTTGTTTTGTTTTCTCTCTTCTCTAGGCTGCACAACCAGTGCGGAAAGTAATAACTCCAAAGCCTATTTCAAGTTAGTAGTTATTGTTTGCTGTGGCCCTGTACATTTTGTTTTACATGTACATGTGTCAGAGTTGTAATGTTTATTTTGTCTCCATTGGGTACAGAAACTGTGCAATCAATTCTGCCTGTCAAAAAGCTTTTGGGGTTAGTTGAAATGACGTCTGGGCTAGTAAATGCTAGCTTCAACTTGCCCGAATAGCAAGCTGTAAAAATGATTTTCTTTGCACCCTGGTAGTGTACAGCTGCAAAATGATTTTGTATAATCAAGAATATTATTGTACAGCCGCAGAAAGCACCTGACAGCTGAAGTACATGTGGCTAAGAGATCAGTTGTGTATCAGAACTGTGGAAATTCACCATAGCATGGTAATATTAGCCAAAACTCAACAACATCAACAATGATTTTGAATTTTGCTCAAAATCTTTTGGCAATCTATTTCTGCCTGGACCTTTTGGGAACCAAAATGATTGTACAATAGAGCCATGTTAACTTGAACTGTGAAGGTAATCAAATCAAAGGGTGCGTATGGCTACTTATGGATTAATTATTGTGGAAACAAAAGCTGATAATGAACTTGTACTTAGTCTACCGGTATATTCTAAGTCTGTAAAAAAAGTGAAAATATGTTTTAAGGAAAAAAAAAAAGCAGTAAAGAAAAAGTTTCCTATGGCAGGAGTTGGACCCCAGACCTTCGACATGAATTAATTATCTTTATCACTTTTGCCCATGAAATTCTGCTGGTGGACGGTGTTTGTAGCTAGTAGGGCCTTATTTATGTAGAATTGAAAGATATATTTGAGGAAAGCAAGCATGGTTTTGATGGTAAAAGCTGTACTCTAACTAATTTCGTCGCATATGAAGAACATATGTCTGACAAAGCGATATTAAGTGTCTCTGAAGCTAAACCATTGCGAAGTCTCTCGCTTACGGCATTGTAGTGTTGTACAGCTTGCAATTCTCTGTATTAACCTGAGGAGAATCAATTACGATTCAGCAACAGTTCCTTTTTTATTCAACTGAAGAAACATTTCATTTCAGAATGATATTTGCCCAAAAAAGCATGAGATTGGGAGTCTTGTGATTTGCTTGAAATACTATTCCTCTTGATTGGCTAGTTAGATCAAACTTCAGGTTATGAGTGAGTGACACATTTGCCTACAGATTCCCCACAATACTCATGGATAATCCACAAGTAAAAACAGTTGGAGTTACATGTAGCAAGGGTTCAAGTTATTGGAGTTGGTTGACTATTCACTTTGCCATGTTAATTATTAGTTTACTGATTTTCTGACACTTCAATCAGTGTACGGTATGCTGCAAATTAAACTTCATTAGAAACTGTGACTATGCATTCTTATTCTGATGATCCGGTATATCAGACAAATACTGTTAATTATGTGATCTGTTGATTGCACTACCTAAAATCTAATTGCTGTAGTGTTAGTTTTGTGTGTTTTTTTTTCTGATTACACAACAAGATGAGGTAATAGGATGGCATCCATGGTGAGCTGCAAGAGCCGAAATTAAGTTGTTCGGGTGGGAACTAAATAGAGACGAGAAGTGTGACGTCATGTTACCATGGTAGCAAAATTTCTGGATGACAACAATAGGGAGTTTTTGCAACAGCGACGGCAAACAGCCAAAAAAACCCAATACATTTAGATTGGCAAAAAAACAACTTTGCACCTGCATCACCCTTTTTTGTACATTTTCTTAGCCATTGTTGCACAACTGCGACATGAAACTTCCTAATTTCACTCGCCTGCTTTATGGAGTAGGTGAGCACAACACAAGAAGTGCCTTTTTCTAAACTCAGTTATGGTCCTTTCAGATTTTTCCCAGAAAATTTCGCCAACATTTGACAAGTTGAATGAAATTAAATAAGATTGACGAAGTTTAAAACAGTGCGAATCCACTTTTTAAGTGACTTCTTGGTTTGTTGTCATTCAGAAATTTTGCTACCATGGCAACGACTTCTCTCTATTTACTTTGATCTTGCGAGGAATTCGAGTTGTCTGAGTTTAAGTTAACCGAGTTAAAATGACTGAAAAGTATGGTCAAATCCAATAGAAATGGCACTTAATGTTTGTGGAGAGTTTGATGTATTAATTTTCCACTGAATTCATGTAATATAAAGGAGTTTTAAAATTAATGGACTTTTAAGGGCCTTTTTGTGAATTTCAAAGAGTGGATAATCAGGTTGCATGGTGTCTCACTTGTGACAAAAAAACTAGCTTAATAAGATTTTTTTCACATTATACAGGAGCAAGAGGATGACTTATCAATAACCCATGAAGTCAGACAGGTAGCAAGCTCATCAGAGTCAATTATAACATCTACTCCTGCCTTATTTTTAAACCCTGGAAGCAAACGACGTGCAAATACTTCAATATTTGGTGAACCATTACCTACTGTGGAAGCTTCATCATCAGGGGGTGCAAACCAAGCTAGACCACAGCTGTTTCCTCCGGCTTCTGAATATCGTCCAGGCCCACAGCCTTTCTCCTTACCTAAGAACAGACCATCTTTTTCTGTTTCTGCATTTGGTTCCACCATAAAGGTAAGCACTCTGTGAGTCCTGTACTATTACGGAGCTTAAACAACTGCGACAACGAGGACAATGACAATGTCGAAAAACAAATTAGTTTTATGAGCAGACCAACACCACATGCAGGGGCATCATGCTCTTTAGTACATTTCAGGGTTTGCAAATTTTATTGATGAGTGGAGTCACTGTGACTTCTGCTTCACAAATTTTGGAGTCATTCTGGAATATTTGGAGTCAAGTATCACAATGAAAAACGCCGTTTTCAGACTTTCCAGCGCATGGTCCTGGCATGTATACACACATGTGAGGGATACATGAAGTACCTATGGCGGTCCGCTGACCTGGAAAGCTCAAATCCATGATGGCGGTCATCGAGTAAACTTTGATCGTAATTTACCCTCCTCCTGTTTTGTTGTGCAGTATAATTCTTTAATTTTGATGATTTAATTAAGGTTTTAATACAACGTTTACAATTAACGTAAATTGTATTTGTTGCGAAAAAGGTAAGGACAAAACTGTTTTTGTTACAGAAAATTTCTGGAGTCGAAGTGACTCCCTCCGTAACCTCTGTGGAGTCATCTGAACAATTTTGGCGTAAAATACGCCAAATTTGGCGTATTTGCGAACCCTGCATTTCTTTGATGTCCACTACATGACTACGACGTAAAACCTTCTATTGCGACATCTTATGAAGAATGTGAACACACAAAGAAGACTTTTCCTTTTCTTTCTGAACGTGTATAAAATCGTTAGGAATTCAACTCCGCGAAAAATCACCTACATTTGATAAATTGAGCAGGTCCGAATCGACGCGATAAAGTTAGAAATGATGCAAGTTTTTTATTTAGCGACATGTTCACTGCCATTGTCGTCATTGCTTAAGCTACCTACTGTCTTCTGTAGTTGTGTAAAACTGCATCTTTATTCAATGATATGCATTATTTTTACATTATTTTTATCTGAATACAGCCTAAACCACCCCAACCTGGTGAGTTTTCCTCTCCATTTTACCGTGGAAGGACATCATTTGGTGGAGCCTCATCCCTGCATTCCGTAGGATATAAGCGAATGAGAACAAATTCTCCAACGCTAGGAGAGGTGAGTGTAATTAGCACATCACAGTGGAACCTCTGTTCTGCAGACTAAACAAGACTGAGGTCAATAGTTTAGATAATCAAGTCTGGATATTATTCACATCTTTCTCTTTGTTATTCTCATCATATGTGACCTTCTCCAGGAAAACGTACACTAACGGTTTTCCGTTTAACGGGTAAAAACTAACGGTTAACAAACGGCTTGTTGACGGCTTTTGTAACGCCTTTAACGGGTTGGCTAATGGTTTGAACGGGTAGGCGAAAAAATCTAACAACCTACAAAAGCGTTCGAACGGATTTGCTTTGATTTTCCTAACGACTTTTTTGAACGTTTCTAACGGGCGCATTAACGGCTTTAAGAAACAATCATCTAACAGTCAAAGAGAACGTTTGATAAAAATCAAACGTTTCGAGTGATAACAGCTCAAAGAAAAGAGTTTCAACGACTATAAAACATTATGCGCGATGAAATCAGTTGTACCTGTCTGAGATTTCAAATCATTTGAGTCGTCAATAAAACTCAGGAGACAGACAACACATAAAATTCAGTTAAAAACCCAATCTTTAAAATTCGTTTATTACTCACCAATGTTCGTCCAAGTCATGGACCAAANTGTGGACAAGCTAAACCCTGACAACAATAATTGTATGAATGGTCCCTATAAGCCCCCTCTTTGACGGCATTTGTATTGGTTTCTTGTCCAGTACTTTGTAGTTCTTCGTGAATGTGGTTGCGCTTTAAATAAAGATTTGTTTATTGTAATGGCGTCCGTTTCTGTTGACTGATATTTCATTGTTTCTTCATAACTATAGCAGCTGGAAGTAGTGGTGTGACCAGCCAAACTGCAAAGAGGATTCTTGAAGCTTTAGAAAACATGTCCTCACCTTTAATTGTAAGTATTTTTTAAATACATTTTCATTGCAAGGCTGTTCTGAGACATTTTAAGGTGAAGGAATCAGTGCTTGAGATTAATGCTAGTCCACAGCCTAGGACCAGTGAAACTTCATGCTGGGCTAGTAAAATTGCATTCCTCCTTGCCCTTGACCAGTTAGTTTAGTGGACAAAATAAAGTTTCTACAACTCTATACCTTGGACCAGTGGCTTTTCCTCATGGGCTAATGAGTTATTTCACTTACTAGCCCTTTGCCTTTTGTCCAAAATAGTTAGTGTTGAGCACTGGGAATTGGAGTGCTTGTTATGGCTTAAAAACAACTTTGATGTTATTCTTAGACTTGTTGCTTTCAATTTCCTGTGCTGTTGAGCATGAATAGTTGTGTTGTGTGTATTTTTGAAGCCTTTTTTGGCAATCATCACTAAAATTCTGAGCCTCCATTTTCAGAACTCGTTCAGAAAAACACAAAAAGTCCTGTTCTTTTTGTTTGTTTGTTGGGAACAAGTAGATTTTCCTGTCAGACAAGAAATGTTTTGTGCACTTTAGGCCCATAACTTAAACGAGAATGAACCAGCCCTGGAAAAGTAATTTTGAACTCTGCTTGTCCTAAGGACAACTAACATTCAGGGTTTCTTTCATACCAGAGGTAATGGGATTCATTGTTTAGAGTAAATTCTTCACTTAACTTTAACAGGATGCTAGGAAAATTCCAACACCACCTGTGTCTCCTTCAGCTTCTCCGCTGTCCTTTTCGGTGAGTCAAAACTTCTTACTAT